AGTTGTGCAGCAGGGCTGCAACCATAAAGATTATTTTCATTAAGTAATCAGTTGCTTACTGTTTTGATAGATCGTCTATGAAATGTCATAAAACAGTGAGAAATGCCCATCATAATTTTTACAAAGCCAGCGGCATTAAATCCTTTCTTTTTGCATCTTTTAAAGTCATGTCATCGCTGATTAATGCTGCCATTTTACATTCTCTATGCCTTCAGTCATGCAGTTTGAGCATACCATCTGCTTGTTTTCTACTTTCCTCGACATTTATTTGATGGCTGTCGTAAAGTCCTGCTTCCCTCGCAGGTTCCATCCTGCAATTTGATCATTTCTGCAAAGACTGTATGACGTACAGTCTGTATAAATACGCCCTTCAAATAAACGCAGTGGGAGTTGGAGTTCTAACATTTACCAAATCCCACATTTTGTGCAAAGACTTTTTTTTCTTATTACTTTTGTTCTTTTGCTTATAAAGCTGCCGGAGGAGCGAGACAAGCTGGCATTATAAAAGATGGAGTAAGTTTCAAATATAACTTGAGACATTTGCAGGCAGAACATCCTGTCGAGACACAATCAGACCGGCACCAGGTATTTTTGTTCTTCCTGAAGAAAATTAAATATTTCCACCATAAGATTCATCGGTGCTATTCCCTTTAATCATATTGTGTGCTTGTTTTTCACATTTTGTGTGCTTGCTGCTGCATACATTATTAGTATTTGTTTTTATAAATGGAAAAAAGCACTGTTTAAAATGCTGCCATACTCCAGATAAAAACAACAACAGAAGAAAACAACAAAGATGACCCCACTGTGATGTTTCGTCTGATCTTTGAATGTTTTTCAGTACACGGTGCTTTAATGTGTCGAGGCACAAATGCCAAATAACAAATTAAACGGGCACAATAGCCTCAAAATAGTTTAATGGCATATAATTCACCTGTAATCAAATCCCAGCTCTCTGACCTGCTGTCACCGTTTTCCTAAACCTGAAGGACATTTAACATTTATTTCAACATTTGTGGCTTTCATGGACACTGTGGTTGTTTCAGTGTGAGAAATGGCTGGAGCTCTGTATTCTTTCAGGTGTTTATAATGAGCTTTTTTAGGGTGAGAGGATTTTCAGCTGGAGGCCTTGTCAGAGGTAATCGGATTCATGTTGTCTATTTCTCAGAGGCTTATACGAGCCCACCTCTGGAGAGCCAGGAATCTCATGTTGTATTGATAATAGCGATGACATCGTGTTTCTGTGAAAATCCAGAGAGGGGTAAAAAATGAAATCCTGGACTGTCTGTCCATCTTTCAGCACATTGCATGGAGGGCACCCACTCTCTTCACATTTGTTTGATCTCAATGAAGACGGCTGAATGTCATGAATGTGTCATCCTTGTTGAAAACACTTGAGTCAAGAATACTTGTGTAATTATCTCAAGGCTATTGTTTATATGCCCATGCATCATGGCCATCATGGCACCTCTTTGATGATGATATGAAGAAAGCACTCATTTCTTAAAAAGAAATGCTGGCAAAGTAATGATAGCAGCTGAATCATTAAGAAACATGGCTTGCATGGCAACTGCTCCATTGCCATATTGCAAATTGACATGAGGGACATCAATGTAAACATGAGGATAAACAACTAGGAAGGATATCTTCATCTAAGTTCATTTCTTCAACAACAAATTGTTGGTGTGAGGTTTAAAGTAGAGCTGCACAATATGAGGAAAATATGCCACAGAATTGCTGAATATCTTTATAAAAATATTACTTGAGATAAATAAACAGATAATAAAGTGTACCTTTCTGCTGCCTTCAGTATACTGTTGAAATACTACAGATTGCTTGTTGAATAAAATGCATTGCATTTTAAACTGCAGTTTTCTGCCGATACTCTCTTTAAACACACTCAAAAAATCCTTCAGTGCCATATCGCAGTCTTTCACAATGTGTTTATTGTGTAAGGTGACATTGCAAAAAATGTAATAACATAATTTAAATATATAATGGGCAGCCCTAATAGAAAGACCTGTGAACGTTTAAACCCACACATATGCAGTAGCTGAAATTTTACAATTCATCTTTCATACTAAAACAACCCTTATCTAGTAAGGGTGACAAGACAAGGACTGAAATATCTCAACAACTAATAAATGCCAAGACATTGTGTACCAGGGTGTCTACAGGTCCTTTAAAAGTCTTAAAATGTCTTAAATTACATTTTCTTGATATAAGGCCTTAAAAAGTCTTAAATTGTCTTAAATTCAGATTTGATGAGTCTTGATGAGTAAGCCTGTGTACAGACAATCATGGTCCCTAGAGGTTAAATCCTAAAGACTTTGCCGACCCTCTGACTTTTCCCTCTAGCGCCACCATGAGGCTAACATTTTGTTTTTTTAGTGGAATCTATCAACAATACTTAATGGATTGCTGTGACATGTGGAAGAGATTTCCATATCCCCCTCAGGAAGACTTGTCAGAGCTTTGGTGATCGTTTGACTATTAGTCCAGGGCCAAAAATCTGCAAAATTAATGACATTCATGACATCACAAGCATTGGTTGTACTGTGTATATAGTGCTTTTTTGGAATGTACACAAGTAGTTGGGTAGATGATTAAACGTTGCTACCCTTGCTAGTTGCCGTCATAGGTATTACTCCGTACAACAGGAAAACAAAAGAGTTTGGCTCAACGTTCAAGACAACTCTTTCCCTCTTGCTTTCTTTTACACACACGTACAAACACACACATGTGCTCTCAGAATCAGTGTATGGAACCGAGTGTGTGTCTGTGCAAACAGTACAAGTCTGCTGCTGTATGTTGCACAAAAGAGTTACCATGTGAATGTGATTTGGTACGGTAAACACACAGTAAATAAATGTTAATTGTTAACTTTTATTTTGTGAGTTGTTGTAATATTTTGTAGTATAATGTAATGTTCAATGTTCTTATTTTGTGGTGCCAATTGCCACACATTTTAATGGTATTTTAAATATGATTTGGTTATTATAACATTTGATTGCCATTTTTAAATGACTTGTAATATACGTAGTATTTTTTTCTGACCGTGTTTAAACAATTTTTTAATTTCTCCATTTAAAGCTCCAGTAGGCAACATTGTTTTGGTATAATTGAGTAAAAATTTTATAATATCCTCTAAGCATAATGTAAATCAAGTGGTCTGAGACAAACAATAGGTTTCTACACCTCACCATGGCTCAGCCTCTAAAGAATCAGTATCGTGCCGATGTGCATTAACCAATCAAAGGTCAGCTCAGACCACTGCATTCCCATTGGCTGTTGTACTGCATATGCGCGTTCCCATGCCGCCGGCAGAAGGGGAGAGCAAACGGCAATGGCGAACAGTGCACCAGGTAAAATAGCTATTCCAGCATTGGCTACAACTGCTTACACGGCTAAAAAAACCCAAAAAAGGAAGACAGAACTCGGTTCCCCGGAGCCCCGGAGGGAGGGGAAGGGTGAGGTGGGGCCGGGCCCGACCGGAGGGTGCGAGGGTCGGCTGTGGGAGCGGAGCCGAGGGCTCTCCGCGGAGAGCGAGAGCTGAGCCTTGGGAGTATGTGTGGGTCCGCGAGGGAGGGATGGGGAGGGCTGCTGCATGGTGAGGGAGAGCGAGGCCTGGGAGTATGTGCGGGCCGCGAGGGAGGGATGGGGAGGGCTGCTGCATGGTGAGGGAGAGCGAGGCTTGGGAGTATGTGCGGGCCGCGAGGGAGGGATGGGAGGGGCTGCTGCGCGGTGAGGGATGGGGAGGGCTGCTGCGCGGTGAGGGAGAGTGAGGCTCGAGAGGGATGGGGAGGGCTGCTGCGCGGTGAGGGAGAGTGAGGCTCGGGAGGGCTGCTGCGCGGTGAGGGAGAGGGAGGCTCGAGAGGGATGGGGAGGGCTGCTGCGCGGTGAGGGAGAGCCGAGGCTCCCAGAGAGGGAGAAATAGAACCAAGTAGGATAAAATCCTCGCGTGCTCGTCTGGTAGGAGGGACTCAGGGCGGAGACGAACGAAACCTAACTCAGATGAGACTAAAAAATCAACCGTTTTCAGGCTTTCTACCTACTGCAGCTTTAAACATCAGGGAAATAAGTCGTTTGAAAACATCCCTAGTTCTCATAAGAAAATGTTAGCATGCTTACGAGCTAAACTTCAGTGCTGAATATAATAAACATTACACCTGCGAAATACAAGGCTGATAGTTTTGTCCTTGTTAAATCTTCTTTGTGATATCTTTGTGAGAATGCCTGACAAACATCTCCAATAGACTGAATTGTTGCTCCGTGCAATAAAATTGAATTAGTTTGGAGCTATCAGTATAGTATGCAAATTTTTGTCTGACTTTTGCCTTCAATTTGTTTTTATGATCCAGCGGCTGTGTATTCTGCGCTGTCTGGCATTGTCATTGTGAACATATTGACATGCTCGTTTTTATGTTTTCTTTTTGTTTGAATTTGTTTGATTAATATAAACCAACTTTCCTCTTACGTATTTCTCAGCTAATTGTAACTCTTGTCGCTTCAGGCAAAGATGCATCACTCAGCTTTGGGCTTTTCAGCTGAAATTATAACACTTTTTGTCTTCATCTCTCACCTCCCTGTCTTACTTTTTGTCTTTTACTCCATCAAAGACAGTTTCCTACTTCACATCACATCAAATCACGTACAGATCACTTTTTTTTAGTAGCAGTTGGGGAGGAGTGCAGAGCATCAATGTCAAAAGTACTTTCTTCTCCAAGACGCGTTCTTATCTGTTAAACCTGCTTTTTATCTACTGACATCATTCAATCTTTAATTTAAGAGGAGTAGCTGCAGGGGCGATGTCAATCTTATTGTTTAGCGGGGCGGTTTATGTGTGTTAATTGCAAGCTTGTCCTTAATCCTGTCTGATCAACAAGCTATCATTCCCTTTGCCTTTGAGCTATACTGGTTTAATTACGTCTGGGTCTAGAGGTGTGTCTCTTTGCTATCAGTCCGGTGACCGGTATGTCTGCCCTCTGTTTGTGTTGCAGATGATGAAGTTTGCCTGGGACAACTACAAGCGCTACGCCTGGGGCAAGAATGAGCTGCGGCCTTTGACGAGGAACGGGCATATTGGCAACATGTTCGGTGAGTGTCAGCGTTTTGCTCAAGACTTAAAGGCCAGAACAATTATTAAGACCTGTTGGCCTCTTTTACTGGAAAGGTTTTATGCGCAAAATTAGGAAAAGATAGGCCAAATCTAAACAGGGGGTTATTTTTCTTCTGTTACATAGAAGAATTGTAACCAGTTGCTGAAACATGAATTTGAAATGAACATTTTGTATTGAATATAAGTAGAATTGACAGCTTTCTAATTCGACATTTGGCTTGGTTCTGCTGAAAGATGATGTTTTAGATAGGAGCAAGAAGGAGTCACTGTGGTGGACTCTAAGGTGGAGAGCTGCATGTTGTATTACCTGCAGACAGGTTATTTATATTTTCTCTAAATAATTAAAAATATCTGTGTGTTCCTCTTTGCACTGTGCTTTAACATGGAGGCTGTTTTGCCCCATTTGGCAGTGTTGGCAAACTGCATATAACAATATTTGATACTGAGTAATTGTTTAAGCCAATTATTGAGGAAAAAATCCCTGAAGTTCCTTGGTTGTAGCTTCTCAAATGTGAGGATTTTTAATTTGTTTGTGTTTTCTGGTTAGTGTCTGGATTAGACAGAAACATTTAAAGAGATCACCTTGGGCTCTGGGGGATGCATTAGTTATTTTTTCCAGTATTTTCTGATCTTTTATAATAGTCGTTGAATTTATAAATACTTAAAGTTAGGTATTTTTCAATCTGAACCCTGTTTCCCAGGTTTTTGTGTCTAAGTAACTAATAGGAACAACAATTTTTCAAACCAGTCCAGTATTGAGGGAGACAGCTGCAGACAGCAGCAACGTTAATGGTCAATTGTGCACTGCCAATTTATGTCCAATAAAAGTGTGTGTTTTTGAAACTGACAGTTTTAGATTGTTATTTCAGGTGTCTGAAAACTTCTGGAAAAGATCTCTTCCGAGGTCGACCTTTTTGTTAACGAGTAAGATCCTTTTGGTTTTACTAGAAACAACCCAGAAATTGCCATCACCAAACCCACCAGACACCATTTTAATAAACAGTAATTTAAGTGTGTATAGGGCCAGTACATTTTCACGTCTAACTGAGTGAATTAAGGGTGATAAATGATGATAAATTTACTATTTATTTAAACTGAGTTGTAAGTTTGACAATAGCGTCTTTAGGGCTGTTCTGGTTAAACAAAAAGGATCTTACTCTTTAACATGGGACATAAAAAATACTGAACTTACCATTCAACTGTGAATATTTAATTGAAGTTCATTGTAATATTGTATTTTATTGCGCTACAACCTTGATTTTGTTTGAACTGTTTTTTTTCATCAATCAAGACTGAAAACAAGCATTTACCTTGCAGTCAAAATGGAGTAAGGTATAAAGCTGAAACAAATTGTGGATTTTTCTTTTGTAATTTTTTTTGAAACAGAAATCATAATGAATGCATTTTCAGTACAATCTTCTATTCTGTAACTGTTGGCAGCTGAAAGGTAACAGGCTCCTGTTTGCGCCTCAGTGAGCTTTTGTCACCGGATCTTCCTTACCTTTCACTCAGCATGGGAAGCCTCACAACCTGCCAGGGGTGTCTCAGTCTCCAGCAGCCTCTAATTGGAGCCAGATCCGGAGGGGTCCTCAGGTCCTCTGCAGTGGAGCATATCAGTCAGTTCACTGCCGAGCCAGAGAGAAATCCCATAAAGAAGCCTTTAATAAAAGGCGGATCAGCTCTTAATAAGACTAGGACAGGTACTGTCTTCCATACCTGAGGTCTCCCTACATCTCATCTGTAGGGACTTGGGATTATGAGAGCGATGATGCAAGCTCTCTTGAAAATACAGTTTGTGATCTCTTGGCTGCTCTCATTCCCTTGAGGTTGCCAAGTTCATAGTTAAGCCGAATCTTTTTGAAGGACTGTCCTTAAATCATGTGATAGGTGCTGTATTTCAAAGCAGCCAATACCAATTTATTTTCTGATGAAATCTGCCAAAAACATAAAATCATACACACCTTGATTTCACCCAAAGTTAAGAGCAGCTTCTCTAAAAGTTAAAGCAGCTGTTCAAGAGACGGCTCCTCTCAACGAGTAAGTTGCGTTCAACAAGAACACAAAGTGCATTTTTGTGATAAAAAGAATTTGTATGTGAATTTGTTAACTCGCACCTGATGATCTGGTAGACATACAAAGAATATAATGATAAAAACCTTGTAGATTTGCCAACAAAAGTAAGTGAGGGTTTTTTTTTTGTATAATTATTTTTTATTGTTTTCATTTTTCACAAGAGTAAGTGAGGTTTTGAACTTAGCTGTTGAAGAGTCTTAATTAGAGGATTAAGACTTGATGGTGGTGATGTCAAAGCAACTGTGAAGCATTCAGTGCCGATGAAGCCAAGTGCCCAAAGAAACATAAATATCAAAAACACATCTTATTCAAGTGGCAGAAGATGGTTTTGTGTCCACATAAAACAGACTCCATAGCTTTGTTTTGAGTAATAACAATTGACACTTGATCTTTCCCACAGTTTACTTCATCTCTGTTGTCAAATTAATTAAAGGAAATGCTAGTGCGCAAGTGCATTTGCTCCGGGGGTGCATGAATGTGGAAGATGAAGGTAATTTTATTCCCAGAAGATGAGCTTTTTTGACTTCATGCGTCACAACTTAATGAGCAACCTTTACTGGAATGAATAGGGCCCTGCCTCCAATGCTGTATCCAGTTCTCTTCTAACGTCTGTGATCTCTGCACTGTCATTGCCGCTGTGGAATGACTGTATCAGATTATAGGGGCATGTTTTGTTGTGAATAAAATGAAATAACAGCCTCTGATCAAAATGTTTCGCAACCAGATATGTTAAAACAGGAGTATGATCAGAAACTGGGACAAATGAACAACACTGGCAATCAACATTACCTGTTTCCCCATTGTTAGCATGTAGCTACATGTAGCAGTGTATGTAATGTAAATGCTTCCAGTAATGTGTCTGTAGCAGATGACCATATAAAGAAATCTTTCACTAGTAAATGTCAGCTTGTCCCAAAAGTTAAAAAAAACCCATGAGAATTCAGAACAGCCCGAAACACAAGGTTTTTGGTCACAGGGATTCATTTTACAGACTTTTACCTCATTATTTTAAACTGGCCATGTTTAATATGAAGCACTGAACATCAAGCAGTGTAGCAATATATATATGACAGAAAACAAGGAAAAGCATAATAGTTCCCCCTGAAGATGAGGGATCAAGGCATCTTCTACTAACACTGCTTGTGATGTAACATGTCATTAGGGAGGAGTAACAGCCAAGGACATTGAAAGCTAATGGACTGTACTGTTGTCAATAATAAAACCTGAGCAATGATAGAGCCGAAGAGAGAGTCGGCTGCTGTGATTTGTTTGTATTAAAGCTGCATTAAGCAATATGTGACTGCTGGAGGGCAGAAAGTTGACTCCAGACAGACTCACAGCAATGAGCCTTGATGTCAGCTTATTAAATTGTGATGGTGCGCACATTAGCAGCCAATCACTATATATTACTTACAGATCCTGTGTAAACGGAGCAACATCAGCATCCCGTTGGTGCTTGTTTTCACAGCTAGATGGCTGCATTGTGAGTGATCATAGAGAGATGTGATGTAGGAATGTTGGGAAGGCTTTGCGTGATGTGTGTTCCCGAACAGGGGAAGATTACTGAGCCTTTCTTCAGCTTGTTTTATGTTGCCTCCAATATCAACAATCTCCACAGGCGTCGGAAAGTTGTAGGAGAAAACACAAGCAGCCAAAGCTGAGCAATCACAGAGAAACCATGGAGATGCTCCACGTGGTGTCTCCATAGAAACCTGCTTTTAGCGTGCACAGGCTTCTGAGGAAAACATCTTAAGTCTCTTTGTCTTGCTAAATATTGGGCTTTTTCTTGCAGCCACTCATTTACATGAACTGTCTCCCACTTTGGGCATAGCAGGCAGTATATATGTGATGTCTGCAGGTCCTTAAAAAGCCTTAAAATTTTAGAAATATTAGGCCTCAAAGTCAATAAATCTTAAATTTGAATTTGTGAGGTCTTAATTTTCACAAACATTATATTTAATTTGATTTATCCTCAATTTAATTTATTTTATTCAAAATGAGACAAGCTCTTCTGTGTGAAAGTCCACATTTCTGATGTTACAGATCCTTAAACCCACCACTAAACCTAATACTTAACTTTGTATACTTGCACTTAGATGTTTGTAAAATGTAGATTAATCTAATAACCATATTCCTACATAAATTCTACCTTAGCACAGGATTACACACTACTTGCCTTTATACTTAACTGCAATGTTTTAATAAGAAAAAGATTATTTGTTCAAAATCAGTCTTAAATTTTGTTAAAAGTTACCTTAAAAGGTCTTAAAAAAGCATTAAATTTAAGTGTCTGATACCTGTAGACACCATAAATATAGTTATAAAAATGTCAAACATTTGCTGGTTCCAGCTTCTTAAATATGAAAACTAGCTGATTTTCTTTACCATTTATGATAGCAAATATGGAGTCTTTGGGTTTTGGACTGTTAGTTGGACAAGAGAAACAAATTTTTGAGGTTAGTTTGGGTTTTCAGAGATTGTGATGAGTATTTTTGCACCTTTTTTTTTGGACATTTAATTGACAAAACGAGTAATCATGAAAAGAATTGGCAAATTAGTTGATAATGAAAACAATTGTTAGTTGCAGCCCTAACTGTAAATACAAAAAAAAAGTTGCTTAATGGAGCATCTACAGTAAGCTTCCCAGCACAATATCCCAAATTAAAATTGTCGCCTTGCTTTTTTCTGACCCCAGATATATATTCTGTAGCTTTTTAATGTGTGCATGCATGTGTATTAGGCATCAATTTGACTCAAAAAGTGTATTTTTTTTAAAACCATGCATTAAAGCCACATTTTTGAGTAACTCAGCTGTTGGGGTCAAAGGTTTCATCATAATGAGCAGTGCGGTCCTTAGTGTCTTGCAGCTAATTGCCATATTTATCCTTGCCCAGCTAAGCAGTGT